TAAATTGCAAAGAGATTGAGCCCTTCCCATAAAGGAGTAAAGGCCAACTGTCACTTATTAATATATTGGAGCATTTATGGAGGTAGAAGCACAAGAGAACAGAAGAGCAAGCCTCCAGGATAGGGAGAAATGAGCTGAGGACCATGTGGGCCACCATGATAGACTGGAATCTGAAAGATCCCAAATGTGAGTCAGTCTTATTCACTCATCATTTCTCCCCTAGAGGATTTTTTGTGACATAAGCAATAACTCCAGAAACTGGGAGAAAGGCAGAGTTCTCATAATCTCTAGGAGTTTAAATCCCAAAGTGTTCCTAAACGGAGGACCTTAACTTACTTTTGGAATACCTAATATAATAGGTTAGCTATAGTAATAACTGCCTGCCCCAACCCAAGCCAACTCCTGATTTGAATAAAGAGATCTTTATTCTTAAAGATTTTCTTAAAGAGGAAATGATGACCCCTTTCTGAGGAGAGATATTTTTTATTTCATTCTCTACTGATTATATGTCCAAGAGTTCTAACCTGTAATCAGAATTTACAAGGCATGTGAATAAAGCAGAAATAAGTGCCCCATAATCAAGAGAAACTACAATCAATAAAAAGAGTCCCAGGGATGATGGAAATGTTGGAATTAACAGATAAAACTTTTGAAATAATTGATGCATACATTGAATAATTTATGAGAAAACATAATCAAAATGAATGACAAGATAGAGAATTTCAGCAAAGAAATGGAAATTCCCAAAAAAAAGAATCTAGTGGAAATTCTAAACCTGAAAAGTGTGTTAGATAACATGAAAATTTATTAGATGGGCCGTTAGCATATAGGGCTCATTGAAAGAAAGGATCACTGAATTCTGGAATAAGACGATTGAAATCATGAAAATTATCCAAATTGAAACACAGTGGGGGAACGAAGCCCTGGGAGGAAGAAAGAGTATGAGATCTATGTGTTAATGTAAAATGGACTAAATATGTATAATTGGAATTCAGAAGGACTGTAGAGGAAATGAGTTTAAAAACTATTTGAAGAAATAATGGGCTAGGAATTTTCTTACTCTTGTTAACAAAGATTTTTAACCTCTAGACATTAAAATCTAAGCAAATCTCAAGAAGGAGACACATATACACACACATACATGCTACATACATACATGTAAAACCACATCTAGGCACATCTTAATTAAAATGAAGAAATTGAAACATAAAGAGAAAATTGCAAAAGCAGTCAGAGGGAAAAGAATGAACACTGAGGGAAATAACAGTAAGAATCATGCCTGCCTTCTCATAAGAAAAAAATGGAATGAAATCACTTTCTGAAAGAAAATGGCCATGAACCTAGATTTCATTACTCATTAAGAACGTGCTTCGTAAGTGAATATCCACTAAAGACCTCTCAGGAAAAAAGCAGTCACCAGATTTTCACTATAAGAGATTGAACCAGGGGTTCATCTGCCTGGAGCAAAATCATTTCATTTGAAAGCCTGGACCTGCAGGAGAGGGTGAAAACACTAGGAAGGATAAGTATGTGGACAAACATAAAAGACTGTATTTTAAAAAATTCTCTAAAAGACTTGACTTTAAAACAAGTATACTGACAATATATTGTCACATTTATAACATAGAAGTATAAGCAGTAAGGGTAGTGAGGTAAATGTAGGAATACTGATTTAAGGTGCTTATATTGTCCTTTAAGAGGAAAATCCTAATTCATGGTATACTGTAATAAATTAAGGGTATATCTGTAATCTCTAGATTAATCATTAAAACTGTGAAGATGTATAGCTAAAAATCCATTAGGGGACATAAAATACAATAGTAAATATTGAATTATTCTAAAAGAATATAAAATAAAATGTAATATATGTGTAATATGAATTGTAATGCATTCTGCTGTCATATATAACAAATTAGAATTTTTTAAAATGCAGTAAAATAGTAAGATGGCAATGTGGTACACACCTGCAATCTCAGCTACTTGGGAGGCCACAGCAGGAAGATTCCAAGTTTGAGGCCAGCCTCAGAAACTTAGTGAGATCCTGTGTCAAAATAAAAAAATTTAAAAGGCTGGGGATGTAGCTTAATGGTAAATCACCCCTGGGTTCCATATCTAGTACTGAAAAAAATAAAAAAGCATAGCAAAATGGTAAACTTAAAGCCATACCATTAATTATTTTAAATGTAAATCATCTAAACGTTGAAAGGCAGAGATTCTCCGACTGGACAATACATCAGTAATATTTCTTGGCGGATTGATTTTTATTCATATTTTTTCATTTATTCATTTTAGAGATATTCTGTAATCTTAAGTTCATTTGGAAATTTTATAAATTTAAAATATTTCATGACAACTTTGACATTTTAACTATATTCCTGCACAATTAGTATTTTAATGACCATATGTATTTATAATGTAGAGTACAAATACAATTACATTTTCTTCATTTATTTCATGTTTTCCAGAAAATAATGTTCTTTTGAGAAACAGAACCAATAGGATATGTTTGTATATACGTGTATATATGTACACACACACAGAGAATGATTTACTTTAAGGAATGATGGAAACTGTCAAGTTCAAAATCTGCAGGCCAGAAAAGAGTTATAGTTCAAGTTCAAAAACGCAGTCTATCCACAGATTTCTCTCAGGGGAGGTCAGCGATTTTCTTAAGGTCTTAAAATAAGTGGATGAGGCCCACTTACATAATGAAGGCCCATCTACTTTCTTGGGGTGTACTGATTTAAATATTAATCCCATCCAAAAACAAAATACCTTCAAAGAAATATCTAGAATCATGTTTGATCAAGTATCTGGGTACCACAGCCTACTCAGGTTGACATGTAAAATTGATCATTATAGCAAGCTACTTAATATGAGCTTTCACTTATTATACTTTACTAAAAGTGAAATTGAGATACAAATGCAGATTTTTAAGTAAAATTTCCTTAAAATAGGAAGCTATTTTAGGACATTTTCCCTAAGCTTATTTCGTTTTGAATATATATTACTGCAATCTTGGATAAAAACATTTCCCAACAATATTATTTCCATTTGCCACCTAAATTACAACTAAGGTTATAACTTTGGGTAATCTACTTTTTAAAATTCAAGTTTCCAACATATTCTTGCCTTGCAAATGAAACTAAAATATGTTGTTTTTATCCTTGTGATTGTATAAGCTAAGGATATTTATTTGGGGGTTTTGTTTTTATCATTTAAAGTTACTTTTTATTTCCAACTAAAGTTACTTTCTAATTGGATAAGAATTGTAAAATTTATAATCAGCTTAGGTCAGTTTTATAGCATTCAGGTTACAATAGTGAGAACACACATGTAGATGTTGCTAATTCCTGAACCCCATGGTGTGAGCCCTCTCATTTGAAAGCTTCTGGTGCCAGACTGCTTTCAGTGGTTACAGCTAGGAGGGTTGCAGACATCAGGGCTGGGGAAGTGGGAATTTCACCAATTGTTCTGTGTACCTCTGTATTATTAAAATCTTTGAACAAGAATCTTCATTACTTGGGTCTTGGGTCTGGAGATGTAGCTCAGTGGTAGTGCTTGTGATTAGTACCTATGGAGCCCTGAGTTCTATCCCCAGCATTTAAAAAAAAAAAAAAAAAAATCTGCACTATTTGAATATTTTCTAAAATGTGTTACTTGTCTTTTTTTTTTTTTAAGCTTTTCACTCAAAGGTAATGTTCCTCTATGATTTAAAGTCTTTCCATTAAAATTACCCTAAAGACTTACTACATTTAAGATAGAACCCAGTTCATTTACTGTATAGTATTTTTTCAAAACAGAATATCTCTGTTTTATTAGACTCAATCATAATTTATTCATCTTATAGCTAGGTAGTGAGTGCTAGATAGCCTGTAAATAAATATTAGTTGATTGGATTAAGGTAGCTAGTAGTTTATACCTCACTGTCTAACAATAATAATTGAAAGAAGTTTTTAAAACAAAACAAAAGCTATGTTTTTAAAAAATGTTTCATGGTACATTGTTCATTTTGAATATATTCTTTCAAGTTATAAAAAGCAATTGCTTGTGTTGATCTCACTGAATCCCTTTTCATACTTCATGTTAAGTGCTTGTGAAACAGAGGAACTAATATTTTGTTTGAACTAGGAATTTTGCTAATTGCTATTAACAGACATTGGAGTTCTCACTTCTAACAGGTCTTGTGTGTGACAGCCTTTAGTATTATTTAAACAAACTCTTCTGATATCCTCACTCTTATGTAAGTTTGCTAATGGACAGAGATTGGAAACTAAATGTGACCAGTGCCTGTGTTCATTTTTAACTTGAGCTTGACTTTGAACCAGTATCTTACAAATGAGATACAATGTGTTATATCCTTGAAGGCTGCTTATTACAAAGAAATGCAGTAGAGGACATTGAGAACAAAAAGATAAATCCACACATGATAAAAGGATATTTCTCAAGATTAGCCATCAGTGTTATCATTTTAAAGGAGAGAATCAGGGAACTTTCTTTTTCCTCAGATACACCATGGTGGTTGAATAAATAATAGAAAATGTCATAGTAGGAAGTCAGATCAAAGAGAAATTCAAATAGATTTATTTATTCTTTTGAGAAAATAAGGAAGCAGTGATTCCTTTCATGGCCTTTATGATATTTCATTATGAAACTTGATGACCTCAAGTCAGAAATAAACCTTTCATGGAGGAAATGCAGCAGAGTCCAGATAATGGTGTAATTTTGAGCTGGAAGCAAGATATGGCACATCTGCCACTATTGCTGGAGGCCACTTGAATGGGAAAACTGTCTTAGCTAACCTTAAGTAGGGTGTCTTAGCTAAACTCACCAACTGTTCCTGACCAAAGAATTCATGATATAACTTGAAAGGATCCTGCCAGCTGAGTGAAGCTTTTTTCTTGTAGACTGTATGAGGCATGTCTTACTGACATGAATGTTTTCAAAATAAAATGAAGAGGCATAATAACCCCATATTCACAATTCTTTTCTTTCCACAGGGATTATCAGCATAGAAAGAAGGCCTTGTAACCATCAAGTAGATTCACCTCCAACGGTAAGGCCTCTTTTTGCATTGTTAAAACTGTAAAAAACTATAGAATGATGCTGGTTACAGTGACACAAAGCACCATTGTAGAAAACTCTTATGACTTCCTTTTGGTAAAAAGTATGTCCCTGCAGGGAAATTAATGTCATGTTTTCCAAATAATGAAGAAAACTTTGTAATTTTTGTAAAGATATAGGAAAATAAGATACAGTATTTTTACAGGTATTTATTTATACCTTAAAGTAGCTTACAGTTTTGGCAATGTGCTTTTTTTTTAAATGAGTGCTATTTCATACACTAGTACTATTTACAGTGAACGTTGTATGACACCGAAAGAATGCCATTAGTGCTTCATTTCTCTTACTAAAGTAAAATCTTATTTTTTATTCCTCTTCTGTTACTAACAGACAACAAAAGCACTTATTTACGATATTAAAAATACGTATTGTAAAAGGAAAACAACTAGATTTCCCTTTTAATCTCTGGGTATATTTGTGTGAAATATACATCATTTTCTGGTTTCCAGTTGAAAGATTCATAAAACTTGAGTACATCTTAACCTTTCCTTCAATATAATGTTCTTATTCTGTCTATACAATAAGTCTTTGTAGTGCTTCATTCAATTCATTGTTTCTTGTTATGAAAAAATTTTTATTCAGTAATATATTTTTCAGGAAAATAAAGATAATGTTAAACTTTATTTGAACTTTATTGATGATTAATAATTGCCTCACTAGAAAGTTGACTCTATTTTCTGTTTGTAATAAATCCACACAACTGATTGATATACCATAGTTGATAACTTAATGTATGATGCTCCAGAAAAGACTAGTTTATCAGAAATTTAGTCATCAGCATAATCATAAAAATTACTTTGCTATAATATGGGTTTCAGTTATCTTTTAGTAAGTATGCTAAAAGAGTAGACATAATATTATGTAGTTTTTACTCTTTAATGTTAAAAAAATACAGATTAGCAATTAAGAAATTTATGTTTAATATATTTGAATAATATACTCCATCATTGAATTATTTTACATACTTCCAAAATTCACTTTATTCTTATAAGCTTTCCTGTGTCCATGTGCTTACATTCTTATTTGTTTATACATTCAGGAACTCAGAAAAGTAAAGCCTGGCAGTTTTCTGTTACACCCTCTAGGCTGATTGTAAATTCCTAGGTTTTTAAATGATGAAGTAATAGAGCCTAATTCACATGAACTCATAAGAAATAATGGTATTGATATCTATAATAGTGACAATAATTGCAAAATTACTCCATGAATTAGGAACTAAATGTAAAGCATAATAGTTTAGATATTGCTTGTCTTTTTTATTATGTTTTTCCAATTGGGTTAGGAATTGATAACTTCTAATTTATTAATACTATTCCTACTCTAGACAATCAATGAGTTGTTTTTGTTTTTGTTTTAATTTTGTTTCTTGCAATGGTGAGAATCCAACCCAGGGCCTCATGCAGGTTAGGCTAGCACTCTACCACTGAGCTGTACCCCAAGCCTTGATAAGTTTTAATGTATTTCATGTTTGCATGCATTCCCCAAACACCCATTAGTTCCCCAAGTTTTCACTTGAGTCCAGGTTAATTTTGATGTGTATTTCTCAGGTGGGTCTATACTTCTCCTTCTCTCTCTTTACTACCATCTAAGGTGTTCTACCCATCCTTCACAGTCCCGTCCCCCAGTTTGCTGACAGTTCACCTTGTCCCTTTCTCCAAAACCTCTGAGTGGAGTCACAAGTCCACTCATTACCCAATGCACCCATGTCTGCTGGACAGGTAAAGTCTGATTTTCACAGAAATATAATTATATTAAATGTTTAGAGTAAGGGAGAGGAAGGAGTCTCTCAGGAAATTGAACAAAGTGAGATATCTGTAATCCCAAACTTTGTGCTATCCTGGTCTGAAAAGGAGAAGAGTCAATTCACTCATTGAACCTGAGGGGAAAAAAAAAAAACAGAAAGAGAGTTGGCCAGGATTTCAGTGTCTGAGACCAGGCTCCTGACTAACTTCCTGACTGTGTATCTAACCCCTCAGTTTCCAGGTTACTTCTTTACCCATTATCACTTCCTCTTCCCTCTTGCTGCAAGTACTCTACGGAATGGCTTATGTCTAGGAGAGTGTTAAATGCCAATTGCAGTTATTCACCAAGTGAGGGAAATAAATAAGAATTTCTCAAGCCTCTGTTTTAGGGAATGGTGTGTTCCTTGATAGTTCGAGTTAGAATTCTAAATGGACTATTCAGTAAATATATGGTTATAGGGGATAGTTTGAGCATATAGTACTATAATATAATAGCAGTGACCCTTAAGTAAATATAGATTAGCCTGAGAACAAAACCACCTCTGTCCTTTTGTTCTGTGTTCGATCTCTCTTTAATTTACTTCTTTTTTGTATTTTATTTATTACTTGAACTTTGAATGTGTTTTCTTTTTGACATAAATAGTAGCCTGCCTGTTTTGAGATGTCTTTAATAGAAAGTGGAAAAGAATATCCCCACTTGATATGAGCTTATCCATCAAAATGAATCAAACTTCTCTTTTTAACTGGGTATGGTCTCCTCTTTTTTGCATCCTGAGCTCTTAATTTTGTTAATATCCTAGAGTACATTTTTCAAATTGTTTTTTCAAGAAATATAAAATGGGAGATGAATTATCTACATATATAGTTAAAATATATCAGTTCTCTTTGCATAAGGCCAATTTTTTATTATTTTGACATTACCTATTTGACTAAAAACATTGTAGAAATTGGTCATCTTTGCCCTCTGATATTTAGTGTTGCAGTAGAAACACTAGATATCAGCTGTATGAATATGAATATTCTTTTGTGCAAATAACCTGTTCAGCCTGTTCATCTATTATAGATTTTATTTTCTTCCGACCTAATGTCCTATTTCAGATTTAATGGCCAACAGGGTAACCACCTTCTCACTGACTTTTTCCCTTGGTAATTTTCACCCAGATGCTATACTGTTAAGAGGAAATGTAAATAAGACATGAGACAATTACAATATTAGAATTAAATCTTGCCACTTTAAGAACAAGTCCCTGCACCTGCTTATAGGCAGGATTTTATCAGCCTCAGATTAATCAAAGGTCATTGAATCCCAAAAGGCAGGTGTAAAAGTTAGTTAATAGTTAAATCAGTTCAGGTTTGAGAACTGTATTTACTTTAAATGAGGGACTTATTTGCAAATCAAAGAGAAAGCACAACTAGCATAAGGAAATGTTTCCCAAGTTAAAACATACCTACCCTTTAATGTATAATCATATGCATAGCAGAGTCCACAGCTTTCATGTTTTCCGACATAATTAATATGCCTATAAGACATTAAAACATAGTAAACCATGCTGAATATAAAGCATTCTTTTTAAAAAATATTTATTTTTTAGTTATAGATGGACACAACATCTTCATTTTATTGTTACGTGGTGCTGAGGATCGAACCCAGTGCCCCACGCATGGTAGGCAAGCACTCTATCTCTGAGCCACAACCCCAGCCCCTATAAAGCATTCTTAGTGATTTGTGGAGTATTGTTTTTGAATCTCTTTTTTTAAAATATTTATTTTTTAGTTATAGGTGAACACAATATCTTTATTTTATTTTTATGTGGTGCTGAGGATTGAACCCAGTGCCTCACGTATGGTAGGCGAGCACTCTACCTCTGAGTCACAACCCCAGCCCCATTGTTTTTGAATCTCTTCCAGTGAAAACTGATATAGTAAATTCAGATTATATCAGTATGGCCTAATTTAAGTGATTGTTTAAATTTTTGTAAATTTTCTAAATTTCAAATCTGTAACACTTAACGAATATTACTCATTATTCTTAATCTATTCAGTGATGCTATGACACCTATTAGAACAATTTTTCTATTTAACAAATGAATTTTTGGCACTTTATAAAAATACAGCTTGCACTTTCACAGACGCCTCCATATCTACCACAATAGTTCAAATAAAATCCAGACTGTCTGAATTTTACCATGATTTTATCAAGATTATACCAAATGTGGAATACTTGCTGTTTGTCTAAGTCTTCCCTTATTATTAGGATTTAAAATGTCCTTGCTTCATTTGTAATATAAATATTGATTTATTATTATTTTTTTGCTATAAGACCAATTTTTCAAGCCTTTAGCACATTCATTCTGCAGTTATATCCCTTCTAACGGCTGACTGGTAATTTTTTTCCTATAATCTATTAGTTGTAAATATGTATAGACTTAATTTGTCACCTTGAAACTATTTCTAAATGATCATGATGTTGCTTGCCCTTAACACTAAATTTATTCATAAAGGTACCGATCTGAATCATATAAGTTAAATTTCATTCTGAATCTCTTTTAGATTACAAGAGATCTGTGCTGAATCACAGCCTTTGGGACAGAAGTCCCCTGTGATTCTCCTTTGCAAAGCAGTAGTCCTTCTTTTTCCTTTTTCTCCAGAAAAAAATAAAAAGATATTTGTGCTTTTTTGCATCATTTTGAGTTATTGTTAGATTATTATCATTGTTTTGTCCTTTCTTCAGGTTCTCAACATTGCTGTATACTGCAGTTTTACACTTGTTTAACATACTTTATATATAATTTATGTAAATGTGGCTGTTTCATATTTTAATATAATATTTGGGACAGCTTGTTTATGGATAAATACATGAATTCAAGTGAAATGTCTTCAAAGGGTACACTTTATTTTCTCCAATCTAGCATTTTCCAGGAATTCATAATATATAAACTGGGGTGAATGTACCCCTATAAAACTCATAAAATAGAACCATGTCCAATCTCTTCCTGTAGGTAATTGCTGGGTGGGGAGGGAACCCATAAACTCTAAGCTTTTATAACTTAAGTCATAAAAGAACCTGTTTCACTTATCAATAAAGTAACAATTCAAAGCAGTTCCATTGAAATTCAAATATAAATGCAAAATATATTCTTTTTTAAGGTGACTTATAGTTATTCATACTATGACATTTTTCTTAAGTGTC